GCCTGCCTGCCTGCCTGCCTGCCTGCCTGCCTGCCTGCCTGCCTGCCTGCCTGCCTGCCTGCCCCCCAGCCGGCGGGATGTCTGGCCTGGCTGTGCCGGGACTCCTCTGCAGTGGGCGAGAAGGTCTCTGGCACAGGTCCCCAGACCCCCCACCCACCTGCCCTGGGGGCGCCCCGGCTTGGCAGGGACTGCCCACTGGGTGCAGGCCCAGCCGCTGTGGGCTCTGGGGAACGCGCCCGCAGCCCTTTCCCTCCGACCCTGCAAAGGGGACCCTGCGGCTTCCGGGGGACGCGTGCGGTCACTCCAGAGCGGCTCCGTGCCGCTCTGCCTGGAGACCTGGCCGGGCCGGGCCACACCTGATGTCTGTTTTCGGGAAGAAGGCCGGGTCAAGGCGCAACCCAGGACGCCGGCCCTGTTCAGAAACACGCTCTGCTCCATCTCCTAAGCAGGAAGTTGCCCAGGCACAAAGCCAGGGATCCGGCCGAGGTCAACCTGCCTCTGCGGCTCGGGGCGACTCCCGGGCAAGCGCCGCAAGGCGTGGCCGGGACACGGGACAAGCCCAGGCCTGCGCTCCACAGCCGCCCTCGTGGCCGGGCAGCGAACCTCTGCCTGCTCGCCACACGGCCTCCCGCGCCATCCGGAAGCACAGACCCTGCGCGTCCCGCCAGGGGCCCTGCAGGAGCGGACTGCGGGGCCCCTCGGCCAGCACCCTGCTCCCAGCGCCGACGGACAGGCCCGCAAGCGCTGGCCGGGCCACTGCCGGCCTGGGCTGGAAGACCAGCATGCCCAGGACGGCGCCCTTGCAGCAGGTCCTGCTCCGCTGTCCCGGACGGGCAAGAGCAGGCCGGGCATCCGCGAGCGGCCGAGGGGGCTTCGCACCCCCCCCCCCGTTCCAGGAGCGCTCCCCGCTCGGGCTCCTGAGGGCAGTGCGGCGGAGCAGCTCCACGGCAGCCCCGGCGGCATCCGGCGCCCGGGGACGGCATCCCCTGCAGCGGGGCCCACCGCGCGCTCCTCAGGGGCGGGCCGTGAGCGGACGCCTCCTGCTCCTGGGGGAAGCGTGCTCGGCCCCCAGCACCGCTGTCGGAATGGGCGCCGTGGCGGGGGGGATGCTCTCCTCGCCCGCCAACGTCCCTCATTGAATCTTTTGGCCGGAAGTGACCGTCCGGGTCGATGGGTCGACTGACAGCACTGGCAGCCACGGTGTGAGCTGGGGACCAAGCGCTGCAGCCGGGAATGGTGGGAGATGCCGGGAGATGCCCGTCCGGAGAGGAGGAGGAGCGTGGCCGCGGGAGCCGGGTGAAGGCCGCGTGTGCCGGAGGCTGTGTCTGCTGGAGTGCCCCCCCCCGCCCCCGTGTCTCTAGTGCTAAGATCAGGGGGTCTTGCTATCTCTCCTGGACCCAATTTTGTCAAAGGAAAACAAAAGTGAAGATGAGGCATCAGCAGCAACTTCGAAGCAGCCCGGGGGTGCGGAGGAACGCCACGGAGGCAGGGGCCAGCCGCTCCCCACAGGGAGGCGAAGCCCACCGTCGGGCGACCCCCCCGCCCCCTCACCTTCTCATAGTGGTCCGAGTCATAGTTCAGGCCGATGCCGCAGTCGTCGGTGATTTCGGACAAGTCCTCGTCGTCAAATTCCTCCAGGCTGATGTCTTGCGGAGGCCTGCAGCACAGGGGAGGGGAGACGGAGGCCTGGGCGGGCGGAAGCCGGAGAGCAGCGCAGCCCAGCCCAGCCCAGCCCGGAGGGCAGGGGGCGGCCTCTGCGAGTGGCAGTGGGGGCCGGCAAGTCCGCGATTCTGTCCCAGGCAAAGGGCAAGGCACTCCGGGCGCCTTGGCAAGGCACCTGATCGGACGGGCAGAGGAACCAGTGGCCCCCGCCCCGCCCGGGTTCTTTCCAGCCCCAGCCCTGGCTGGCCTCACCTCCACCCTGCAGGACAAGGTGATGGGGCAGCCCCTCCCCGGGCCCCCTTCCTCCAATTTATCCATCAGCCTGAAGTGCCTGAAGTAGGGGCCTTGTTTGCCCCCACAAGGACACTGGCCCAGCATGGGGGCGTTCCAGGCCCCTTGCCCCGCGGGGGCCCCGGGAGAGCCCATTCCGCAACGGTGCTGGTGCCCGAGCTGGGTCGGTGGGCAGCCCACTGGGCAGCGCGCGCCCACCCTGCCACCCCCAGCGCCGATGAGCGTGGCGTCACTTGGAGGGGGCGTCTGGGCAAGCAGCTTTTCTGCTGCTCACGCCCGAGTGCAGGACACGGAATGACCAAGCCACGTGCGACAACCCGGATCCAGGCTGGGCATCAGGAAGAGCTTCCTCCCCGGCAGAGCAACACGGCAGGGGGACCAGCTGCCCGGAGAGGGGGGGCTCTCCCCCACTGGAGGCACTCAGGAAGAAACTGGGCACCCTGGTGGGATGGTGTAACTTGGCGTCCTGCCACAGCAGGGGGTGGCCTTGATGGCCTCCGTGGCCCCTCCCGCTGCTGCTCTCCCCAGTTCCCGGCCCAGGTGCAGCAGGGTGCTCAAAGGCCCAGAGCCCCTCCCGGGGGGAACCCTGCGAGTGGCCATCCGAGGGTCCTGCTCCCCGGAGTCCCTCGCCAGCAAGCCCTGGATTGGCTGTGGGCCCAATCCAGCCAAGCAACAGTTAAGGGGCCTGGCGAGGACACCACTGTTGTTATGGAAACCAGCCTGCCCAGGACAAGCTAATCCCCTTGCAGCAAGTGGGGAATGCAGCCAGCGCCCCCCCCACCCCCAGCTGGGGCGCAGCTGTCCCGATGGCCCTGTGCAGCCGCCCCCCAGCACCCTGGGGCTTTTCTCCGGCTCCCCCCGAAGCCCCCACCCGCTCGTCCGGCAGCAGCAGCGGGCAGGAAGGCCCCTCCTCGCCGGGGGTCCGGGAGCTGCTGCCCCCGAGAAGCAGCCAGGAGGCCGGGTAGGCTCTGCCAGGCCCGTTTCGGCCGCCGGCAGCGCCCTCCGCCCCGTGGCCGCTCTCCCGCCCTGTTGCCCCACGCGAGGGGCTGGAGGATCCCAGTGCGCCACTCTTCTGCGCCCCCCGAAGGGGTCACCCTGCCCCATGCCCGCCCCTGGCCCTGCTGCCAAGGTCCAGGAGTTCCAGCAGGCCCCCTTGGCCTCCATTCCCCCGACCCACGAGTGAGCTCAGGCATTATTACAGACGCTGGGGGCCGCACTCCCAGAGGCACCAAATGACGCCAGACGGTCCAGGGCAGAGGTGCCCCCGTCCCGGACGGGAGAGGACAGAGCCGACGTCCCCACTTCTGCCCCTGAAGCAAGGGCTGCCTCCTGCCCCGCCCCACTGCTCCCCCCACAGCTGCCCTGGGAGCAGAGGCGGGATGCCGTGTGTGTGCTTCTTAACTGTGGCCAAAGCTGCGCATGGGCCCTGCACATCTGTCCGCTCACTCGCCCGCTCGCTCACACGCCACGCAGAGCCGAGCTGCTGCAGAGGCTCGGCGGGGGGGGCGGGGGCTGGCCTGCAGGACGCGCGCCAGATCCCGCCTGCTCCTCCGACCGACCCTTCGGGATCCTTGCGGGTGCCTCCCCCACGCAGCGCTGCCTGCCCCTTGGGAAGGACCACGTCGGCCTGCCGCTTCCACGGTCGTCGTCACAGTTCGATTTCAGCAGAGACTCGGTCCGCGGCACTGCTTTCGGTGCAGGGAGAGCGCCGGGAAAGATGACCCAATTACGAAGCAGAGCATGACGGAGCATGTGCAGAGCAAATGTGTCTCACTGCCGAGGAACTCGCCACTGGCCAGCCTCGCGCATCTGGGGCTGTGGAGCACGCGAGCCCCTCACACTGCGCACTCGCTCGCTCGCAGAGCCACACTCCCCACCGCCTGCCAGGGCAGGGAGAACCGGCCCGGCTGCGTGCCCAGTCCGGCTTGGCTTCCCGGGCTGCTGCGGCCATTTTCTCCAGTCAAAGGAAAAGGCCAGATGAGGAGCATTTACTGTGGCCTGCCCAGAAGGGTCCAACGGGAATTAAAATGCATGAACAAAACCAGGCCATGCAAACGCGCTTCCAGAAGCTTGGCACAGGACTCCAAGCGAGGCTTGGCAGGTTCTGAGCGGAGCAGCCGAGGAACGATGCACCCACCGAGGCAAAGCCAACCGTCCCCAGTCCACTCGGGGCAAAGCAATTCCCAGTCTAGCTGCAGACGGTGTGGCCACTGCCGGGGGGGGGGGGGGGGGGGGCAAGGAGGCCAGGAGGGCACAGCAGAAAGGAAAAGTCCTTCGAGGCTGCTAAGGCACCGTGGCATCTATAGCCACACCGTAGCCCATGTTCCGTGGAAGTGGAGGCGAGGCACCTGCCCTGCTTGGGGAGGGGCGGGGTGGGCAGGCCAGGCAGGAGAAGCTCTGAGCGGCCTAAACGGAGGTGCACACCCCCCGGCAGCGGAGTGGGGCCCTGGTCTTTGGCAGGGTTAAGCTAGTTGCAAATAAAAGAATTGGATCCCAGGAAAAATCCAGGCTCTCTTCCGGGTCCGGGACTGGTTGCCTCTGGTCCCAGTGGGGCTGTGATATTTGAAAAAGAAGCTCCAAAAGGCCAAAACCCTTTGAGGACTCAGTTTTGTGGACTGCTTGGCTCTTGCTTCTCCGTACTGGCCGAGTACACTTTGCTGCTTCCAAACACCGAGAACCGGCTTTGTTTGCTTCGGCCAGGCATGCGCCTGCTTCAGTAAAAGCAAACCCGGTCCCACTCGGTCTGGACCACTGCCGTGGGTCAGCTGCACTTCTCTGTGAATTGTGGGGGGGGGGGGAGGATTCCCTGGCACCCTTGTGCGAGGCACACTTTCCCTCCTTCAGGTGACAAACTGCCTTTTGGATCGGATTAGTTCTTTGAACTAATGCTAAACATGTACACGGGGAGCTGCTTGCCCCTTAGACCAGAATAACGCTCGGGGGGCAGAAGTTCTCATGGGGGGGACTCAAAACTAAACCAGAAGGGGGGGGGGTCAAGCAGAACAAAGCTCCTGAAGAGGACTGCAGAAGAGTTGGCCTGGGCCACCATCTGGCAAGGAAGAGGAGCGATTCGGCAACGGCGCAGGGACGCAGCGAAGCTGAAGGCGAACGCAAGCAAGTGCCGCACCGGCCCGGGAGCAATTTTTGCTCACTCTGTGCCCTCTGCCCCCCCATTAAAGATTTCCAGCCCCTGCATCCGCGCCCCATGATAATGTTTCGAGAGCTTTCGACATTGTTCCCGTCCGTTGAGGATCTGGAGACAAGTACGCTTTCACGTCATTTACGGATCTTTCCCATTCCCTGTCCTATTCCTTGATATTTAAAAACTGCAGTTCATGTTTCTAAAACAATTTTGTCGTACGAACCTGACTGTATATAAGTGAAAGCACGCTTACAGTCCACACCCTGCTGGCTGGGGATTATGGGTGTGGAGCACAGCACAGCTGGACTGGGGAAAGCTGCTCTGGGCCGAGAGATGAGCTCGGCTTGGACACGCACACCGGCCCCTGAGAAAGGCCACCTGAGTTTTACAAAGACGCTGCAGCCTGCCCCCTTTCTTTATCTGGCGTGTGGGTTGCTGTGTGGCTTCTCCAGGTGCTCAGGGCCACTCCTGAGCACAGGACAGAGCACGTGCGGGCGCGGGACCAGGCCAGGAATGGCGGCTGCGTCCCCGGCTGAGGCTGAGCGCAGCCGAACTGGGGGGCCCGGCCCTCTGCCCAGCTGCACCTCCCCGAAGGGCCGGGCCGGGCAGGGAAGGGGGTGGGGGGCTTCCCCAGGTGGCTGCCAGAGGGACCATGCGCTGGATGCGGCCCTTGCCAGCTCCTCCGCCTGAGCTCTGTGGGGACGCAGGTGTCGGATGCCAGCCCCCGCTGCTCACCCAGGAAGCTCGCTGGCGGTCCCTGACTCAGGCAGACCTGCCCCACAGGGTTGTCATGAGGATGGCATGAGGCGGACTTGGGTTCCTTGCCCGAGGAGAAAAGGAGGGTGAAGCTGCAATGAGGTGCTTTCAAACAGAGCACGTGCTTTGGAGTCGTGGCACAGGAGGCACCCCAGGAGTGGCCACCCTGAGCAGCCGGTGGGCTCTCGGGGCCTCGCGCAGTGCGCTTCCTCTCGCCACCTGAGCTCCCAGCAGCCGGGGATCTTGGGAGATGTGGGACCTTGCCCACATGCAAAGTGGGGGCCCTCCCCTGAGTCGGGGCCACTTCCCGCGTGGGCACCCACAGCCATGCCGCCCCTCGGGTGTGGGGTCCCCAGTGAGCTCGGGCTGTCGGCTGCAATGCTGAGAACTGCGCCCCAGCGCCTCTGGGGGTGCCATGCTGGGGGAGGGCAGCTCCAGGGGCAGGCCGGGGTGTGCGGGGGGAGGTCTGAAGAAGCAGAGCCAAGGCCAGCCACCTGCCTCCCGCTCTCCCCGCTGGGCGGCCTCCTGGCAACCTGGCGGATGACGGCGGGTTGAGCGCGACATCTCTGCCTGCGCATCCATCCCGTGGGACCGACTGGCCCTGGAGCCGAACGTGGATGTTTTTGCAAAGCCTCGGGAAGTATCGCTGGGCCCCGGTGCCTGTGCGCCCCTGCGGGGAGCCAGCACAGCAGCAGTGCAGTGGGGTGCCGCGCATTTCCACGTGCCATCCAGCGCAGCGGCCAGGCAGCTCCGGGGGCTGGCCTACCTCCCCAGGGCCCCTTGACCCCCCCGGGCAGCCAGGAGCCCTCCCTCCATGAGCACTCCCCACTGCAGCTGCAAGAGGAGAGCAACGCCGGGGCACGTGGAGCAGCCAGGAGCAGCCGGCGCGCCTCCTGGGCCTTTGTGCTCCCACGGGCACCTGGAAGACCCCACTGAGCAGCCAGGCAGGGAGGGGGCAGACAGGCTCCCCGCGTCGTGTGCAGGCCAAAGGGCAAAGGGGGGCTCTGGGCAGGGCTCAGAGCTCGGCTCCCTCACGGTAGGTCAGAGGAAAGCTCCCCCATCCTCGAGAGGCCTGCAGCGGCGCGGAGAGCCTCGTGTCAGGACAAGCCGGGAATCGGTAACAGAAAAGCAGCGGAGCCACCGGGAACACGGGGGCGGCTGTTTGTGGCTTCCTGGCGTGCCTGGGACACTCCAGACACCTCTGGGCCGCACTGCGAGCTCCTCAGCACCAGGTGAG